TGGATGCCACGAATCCAGGCCATGTCGAAGATTCTCAGGACAATCCAATCCCGGATGCTCATGATGCACCGCCCGAACAAAACAGCACTCCTGCTGATGACCCTGAAGAGCAGAAGTCGATCGATGATGCAGAACGTGTACAGGAGCAACCTCTTGAAGGCACCCAGCGTAATGCAGATGAGCTGACTGCTGGTACGGAGCAACTGCCAACAACTGCCGAGGAGGCAGACGAATTCACATGGTCTGCGCCAACCAAGAAGGGCAAAAAAGGAAAGAAAGGCAAGAAGTCCGGCACACAGACCCCGCAGGCTACTGAAGAGCCTGTCGCGATGACCGAGTTTGATCGCAATATGCCAGCTGAGGAGCAGACCATCTCCACCGCAATGGCTGAGAATCAGACTGCCGACGTTCCTGAGCCCTCGATTTCGACCGAGGAAGCTTTGCCAACGAATCCGACTGTAAATCTTCCACAGTCCGGTCCAGAAAGCAGTGCGCCAGCAGTTGCTGCTGACGCCTTCGATGTTGATAAGAATGCTCACGATGCAGAACCAGAAGAAGAATTCGCATGGACCTCTTCTAAGAAGAAAGGCAAAAAGGGCAAAAGGAGTCGGCAGCAGTCTGTAGCTGATCTACCATCGGCCGAAGACACAAAGTCCGCTGAGACTGAAGCCATCTTGGAGCGAGATGTTGCCAACGAAGAAGCCTCGCCTCGTGTAATTGACGACGCAACTCCTGTTCTAGCGGCAGAGCATCAGGCGGAACCTACGATAGCTCAGAACGAGCCAGCAGATGAATTCTCTTGGGCGTCGAGCTCGAAGAAGAAGAAGGGCAAGAAAGGCAAGAAAGGCCAGAAATCCCAGGACTTTGAGCCTGACGCAGGCGCATCAGAGTCGCCTGGTCCGGCAGAGCCTGCTACACCATCACTCGAGGAGCAAGCTTCTGGTTTCGTCGAAGAGCCCATCAAGCAGGTTGACGAGAATGACAAGCCCTCTGAGGAGCCTGCAGCGGCCGAGACGGAAGACATCCGGGCAATGCCGACTTCCAAGAAGAACAAGAAGGGAAAGAAAGGCAAAACGTCGGGCTTTGATGCGCTGGAGCAGCCCCAACCAGAACTTCGTGAAGCTGACATGAACGACACCCCGATCGAAACCGCTACTCCTCAGAGAGCCGAACCTCCCCCATTGGAAGCAGATGACTTTTCTGGATTCATGACATCCAAAAAGAAAAAGGGCAAGAAGGGCAAGAAATCTGCTTCCGGCACAGCAACGCCGCTGTCGGAGACCATCGAGGCTGATCAAGATGATGGGAAGATCGACATGGCGGAGGCCGAGGTGCAAGCGCCTGAAGACAAAAGCATGGATGTCGAAAACACAGAGTCGAAAGTTGAGGCTGAAGCTGGGGGTGCTACTGCCGAGAAGCCTATTGAACGATCACTCGAACAAGAGGCCAGCGTACCACAGGAAGACGCATCGAGGGAGACAGAAATGGCTGGACAGCGGCTTGAGCACGACGCTGATCAAATCGACCTGACTCAACACGATGTCGCCGCTGAGCAGACCCGCGACACTGCAGCCATACCTGACTTTTCTGCCAATCCTGGCCATGCAAACGACGGTGCCGACAGCTGGTGGGAGCCCACAAGCAGCAAGAAGCAGAAGAACAAGGCCAAGAAGAACAAGCAAGCAATTGACCTTGCTGCAGCAGAAGCCGAGCAGTCAGAGACGCCAGCACTGCCTTCTACCATCGATGCCGAAAGAATTGAGCCGGCTGCTACCCCTTCAGTAGAGGAGAACCCCGAAGCTGAGCATCAAACTGCTGAAGTCGATGAATGGTCCACATCAGTATCTGGCAAGAAGAAGGGCAAGACGGGCAAGAAGTCCAAGCAGCTAGCTCTTGACGAGCCTAATGCCGAACAGTCTACTCCTGTCGAAGAGAACGCGAACGAGCCTGCCATTGGCGGAGAAGAAGTGTCAGTGTCCAACACTGCAGAGGTCGAAAATGATGTTCCAGTCTCGGAGAAGAAAGAAGAAGACCTTCCTACTTCGACAGAGCAGGAAGAGACAATCAGAGAGCCGATGGACCTTGATCGACTCCCTCCAGCCACAGATCAACCTCGCGAACCGATTGCGGATGTTAACTCGCCCTCAGCCGTGCCTGAAGAGGCTCCAGAAGAATTCGCCTTCACTACTAAGAAGAGCAAGAAAGACAAGAAGAAAGCCAAAAAGGCTGGGGCATCAATGAGTGATTCTTGGAACGAGTCTACTGAGCCTTCCGAGGTGCCTCCAGAAGCGGAGATCAGCAATAAGACTGCAGGATTGGGGGCTGCTGCTGTGGCAGGGGCTACTGCTGCCGCTGGTTTGGTCGAGAAGCCAGCGGAAGAAGACGAGTGGGCTGGATTTTCTACGAAGAAGTCAAAGAAAGATAAGAAGAAGGCTAAGAAGAGTGGTGCTTCTACACCAGCTGTTGTCGAGGACAAGGAACTTATGCCATCCGATGGAGTAGAGGATAAGTCGATGCTTACCGACAGCGCCGGGCAACAAGAACAGACTGGTGCAGCGGAGCAATCTAAGGACTTAGATGTGGACCTGAAGCCGTCAAGTGAATCAGTCGAGCCTACGAGGCCTAGCCCAGATCAAGGCTCCAGTCAAGACATAGATTTTGCTGCCACGGTGGCTGCCGGTCTAGCGGACAGCGGCTTCGACCCTGACATGGTCATCAATGATCCCGTCTTCCATCGCAGAGCCTCACCTACCGGTCAAGCTGAAGCTGATCCAGAAGAAGTCATCTCGACGACGACGACGACGAGTAAGCGCAAGAAGAACAAGAAGAGCAGCGAATCGAGAGATCTGTCTGGCGAGGCGTCGCCAGCTATTTCTTCGTCCAATCTCGAGGATAAGCCTGCAGCCGACGATGTCAACGATATTATCAACAAAAGTCTTGGTGGTGCTGGTTTTGATCCGGGCCTCATCGAGAAGGCCATGGCTAGCAACAATACTTCTTCTGCTGATATCGACAACGATCAGCCTGAGATCGCCTTCGCTACGTCCAAGCGAAAGAAGGGCAAGAAAGCTAAGAATGAATCTGCCAGTGGGACAGAGTGGTGGCAGGCGTCTGCGCCACAGGAGGACCTGCCAGATGTACAAGCAGCTCAGACAACCGAGAAAGACTTGCAGGCTCCTGCCGAACCAAGCACCGACAACCAGAAATCTGAGCATGGTTGGCTGGTTCAGGAAGAGCTAGACATCGATGCCGGCGACAAGGCATACCGCGAGTATAAGAAGAAGAAACGTCAGCAAAGAAAGCTCAAGGCTGCCGGGCAAGCAGGAGTGCTCTCTGATCATCCGGAAAGCGCAATGGACGATATCGAACGCTCTACAGTGGTCTCTGATAGCGAGACCGGTCTTTCTCGAGCTACGACCAAGGACGAAAGACCACCGCAGCCATTGCCGCCTGTATTGGAGAAGGCAGCGCGACCAACGTCGGCACCTCCGGAGTCGGCTGATGCCACGACCAGTCCAACAAATTCAAAGAGCATTGTCTCTAGCGTGTTCCCTGGTCTGCAAAGAGTTAAACGCCGAGCGCCGTCGATTCCTTCTGGAGAAGAGGCAAGTCAGCAAGCCAGGAGATCAAGCTCTGGTAGTCAATCACGAGCTCTACTCCATACCTCTGAAGTCTCTCAGCATTTGCCTGTTGAGGTCCCTCGCACGCCGCCTCAAGAGCATGAACGTCGTCTGTCCGATACAGGCTCAAAGGACCATGCGTCTGCTCTGTACAAGGCGGCCGCAGGAGTGGCGGCCATCTCTACTGGTGCAGCTATTGCGTCAGCTTTGGACAAGAAACAGTCAGAAGCGGGCAAGGCCAGTCGATGTGTGCCGGCTGATGAGCCAAGCTGGTCTTTCGCTGCGCTTCAAGATGATAAGCAGCATCAACCAATTCGAGACAGCGGCTACCAAGAAGGCAAGCGAGCATCACAGCAGACCGAACGTTCGAGCGGCGAGATTCCAGAAATCCTCCATACCAGCTCTTCTTTCGATAGTTTGCGTCAGCGTCGGTCTCTCGAGCCACTTCGCATCTCTACGCCATCAAGCCCCGAGAAACAGTGGAATATTCACACACCAGAGAAAAGATGTGGTCCGTCTGACAAGAATGCACTCGAAGCGCACGCACGTACGCCAAGCGCGGAGACGCCGCTTCTCCCGACGAGTAAGAACCGCACGTCATATCTCTTTCAATCACCACCTGACATTCTCGCAGAAGCGGCAGATGCTCGAACGCCAACGCATACTTCTGAACATGGTACTCAGTCGAGAGCGCGGGCATGCTCGAGAGGGTCGGAAGCAAGTCCCGTTCCGAGAACAGACGGGGCGAACGATGGATCAGCCTTCTCTCCGACGAGTCCAAGAACACCATTGGACCCAATTCCAGAGGAAAGGCAGCACGCTCGAAAGCGGAGCAAGGCCAGCAATGAGGTCGGCGGTGCTGAACACGTCAAAGCCATCAAGCGTACGGAAACGCGGCAAAAGATGCGTGAAGAGGAGCGAGCGTTGTCGCCCAACATCCGCCCTTCAGTCAGCATCCCCTCTGGAGGCAGCACCCGGTCGACAAGCAATCCGCTGTCGACGTCAGATGAAGTGTACAACCGGCTCTCTTGGCCCGCTGTTGACGAGGAGCACGAGACGGTCCATCTTGATCGACGGCATGCTTCGCAAGCACGGACCATGCCACCAGATCCACGCTCGCCAAGCGTCACGAGCAACCGGTCGAATGTGAGCGGCGGACATTTCAAATCGCCACAAGAGCTGCGGTCGCACAGCCGCAACAGCCACCACAGCAATCGCAGTTCCACCCCATCGCTCCGGCGAATCAGCTTGTCGGGTGATCTGCGGGCAGCGGCAGCAAGCCGGCGGGGTCTCAGCGACGCGGGATCAGCCGTTAGCGCCCGGTCGTCACCCCAAACAATTCCCTTCGTGGCCCCGCCCACACCACCGCTGAACGACGATGAGATTGCGGGCAGCGCCTCGCGCGCCGTCGACATGAACGACGATGTTTTCGTAGGTTGCACGATGCACGCACGTGACGGCATCGACGCTGACTCCCTGCAGCAAGGGTATGGCGATGCACAGCAGCAGGCGCAAGTGTCGCCTACACGACCGCCGAGTGTTCGCAAGCGACAGAGCATGCACATCACCGAGCTGGAGTCCCGTCTCGACCAACTTGTCGCAGAGAATCGCGCTCTCCACGAGGCGAGAGAAGCGGAGGCCGGAGCACTGCACAGTGGAGCTCTCCGTAATGGCCAGTCCCTGCAAGAAATGCTCAATGCACGTGATCTGCAGCTTCGAGCCAAAGATGCCGAGATCAACCAGATCAAGGCCATGCTGCAGCCCATGCAGGAAGAGCTGCAGAGATTGACGGACATGAACGCTGGTCTCACCGAAGCGAACAGGAACCTGGTCGACGACACCAATCGTCGCTACGCCACTCTGCAGGCCGAGCACTCTCAAGCACACGAGCAATGGCAGTCGACGGCGAAGCACCTTGAACACATGCGCGCAGAACACGGTAGAATCACGTCTGGCATGCGCGACATTGTCGAAGCCGAGATTGCGAATGCTCTTGCCGACAAGAACGCCGAGATCCTGAGATTGCGTGAACAGCTCGACATTGCTGCCGAACAAATCCGCGCTCTACAGCTCCAGATCCAGGCTTCGAAATCCAGCGACTTCCTGGTCCAGCGCGACGAGGACTACTTTGATGGCGCTTGCCAGAAGCTGTGCCAACACGTTCAGCAATGGGTATTGCGCTTCTCCAAGATGTCGGACAACCGTGTCTGCCGCTTGTCCACCGACCTCCACGACGACAAGATTGAAGCACGCCTGGATAATGCCATCCTCGATGGCTCAGATGTCGACAAGCTTCTTGGCGATCGTGTGCGCCGTCGAGACGTCTTCATGTCTGTGGTCATGACCATGGTCTGGGAGTATGTTTTCACGCGCTACCTCTTTGGCATGGACCGAGAGCAGCGACAGAAGCTGAAGACCCTGGAGAAGCTCCTGTCTGAAGTCGGACCGCCCCGTGCTGTCGCACACTGGCGTGCCACAACGCTCACGCTGCTTGCAAAGCGTCCGCAATTTGAAGATCAGTGCTCCCTTGACACGGAAGCAGTGGCCAACGAGGTCTTCGAAGTGTTATGCAGACTTCTGCCTCCACCTTCTGCATCTCGAAGTCAATTGCTAGCATCCCTGCTCAAGGTTCTACGCATTGCCGTCGACCTTTCCATCGAGATGCGCACACAACGAGCAGAGTACATCATGCTGCCGCCTCTGCAGCCCGAGTACGACACCAATGGAGACCTGGTACGCAAGGTCTATTTCAATGCCTCGCTCATGAACGAGCGCTCAGGTTTCTTCAGCTCCAACGAGGAGCTTGCCGCCCAACACGCGGTCGTCAAAGTTGTCCTTTTCCCACTCGTCGTCAAAAAAGGTGATGACGTGGGTGAAGGTGAGGAGGAGATTGTGGTCTGCCCCGCACAAGTGCTGGTTCAGAATGACAATGGTAAAGGCAAGAAAGTCGTTAGGGTCATGAGTGGTGCTATGGAAATCGATGATCCTATTCGAAGTACCAAGAGCAGACAGAGCAACCGCAGTCTGCTTAGCGACGCTCCGGGTAGTGTTGGCTTTTGATCAGCGAGGCGTTCGGGGGAGGGATGATAGGTTTTGGCAGCATTTTATGGGGCTTGCGAGAGATGTGGGTATGGATACAGAGTACACAGACGTACACAGACGTACATAGTTGCATGAGCATAATTTTGGATGTTTCATATCAAGTATACTCTTAGTGGTGCTGCTTACCTGTTCCACCACTGTGCGTGAGGCTTTGATAGCCTGCGCTCGCTTCGAATGTCTATAGGTCTTCCAACGAGGGAGTGAAGGGGGCTGAGAGCCAGCTTGGCACCGTCATCAGGCTGTTGAACTTCGGCACGCCCTGAATCCTGATCCCATTATACACACCATCTTCCCAATCATTTCTTATTACCGATGTCGATCGTTATCGATCACCGCACTCTATCTGCAACCAGGATGGCTAGACGCGAAGCGATGATTCGGATGTCGGAAGCTGCCCGTCTGGCATCATCTCTGTTCAGCTGTCGGCCAGCCCAGGCAACCCAGGGTGACATCCAAAGCAAGATCACAGGCTTGCGACCGGCGCAGCCCCTACAATAGCTTCCGGCGGCCTCTGCGGCCTCTCGATCCATCGCTGATATAGGTATCGATGGCATACTAATCATGAGTCCCCTGCCTGCTGTAGGTTGGCGCGCGTCACACCATACTCTCGAGCAGCTTGATAAGAGCACGTTGCGACAGCACTCTGCGACACTCGTGCGAGGCTATCCGGCATCAGGTTTGACAAGCCAGCTGGTCGTCGCGCCATACAGCCTATAACTTATCTGTCTTCTCCAACATTCGGCCAACGCCTCGCTCATCTGTCAGCTCGACCCCGACCACATCCGCCGTCCGCCGTCCGCCGTCCGCCGAACGATATACCGGCTGCACGCAACCTTACCTACTACCCAATCTCTATAACCCAGCGATACCAGTCCCTATCGCCAAACATGTGTCTCGTCACTTCTCCCAGGCGCGACTACGTGGCGAAAGACCTGCCACCGCGACCCGTCAGCAATTATCGTGGTGGAAGAAGGAGTTCGGGAACATACTATCGACGCACGAGCGTCATTCCTGTCGAGCGTGTCAGCTACCGCAGCAGCATTCATAGTCGTCCCAGAAGTAGTACGGAGGTGTATAGGAAGACGAGTCGGAGTTATATTCGATGAGCGAGCGCGTCGATCGTGGGAACGATACTGCACGGAGATGACGACGAGGACGATTTGCTGGAGGTGTCGCGCTGCGATCCTCGGTGGCTTGTCATGGAAGCGCAACTCGGCTCAATCGCGTCGTTTCCTCTCATTTGTCGCGCCGAATCCGTCTCGGTGAGATGGCGTGTGTGGGTTTGGTCTCGGAAGCAATGAATGATGGGAGCATGGGATGGCGCAATGCGTAGAGACGCCGTGACGACAGTTTCCTCTATCTACAGCGAGAATCAATCGTTCCGGCGCACGTCGCCATGTTCTGATCATCGCTATATTGAGCTATATGCATGCATATGCATCGTCTGGAGGATGAACAACCAGTCGGTAGATCCCGTCCACACATATTTGTGCATAGCTGCGCCTTTGTATCATTCGTGTGCCTGTTGCCGCATGATTCTTCCGGTCTTGGGCATTGGCCGACTCATTGTGGCTGCACTAGAACGTGCCATGTGAACGCTCTTTCAAGCTTGATGACGCGCTTTCCTATGAGGTCATTGAAGTCCCTCCGAACACTCCTAGCTTGCAAGAACATGCTCTATTGTGATCATCTCCCTCACTTGCTTGACAATTTGATCGATCAAATCTGATTGTGTAGACCTTCTCACGTCAAACGGATACCGTCAAACAGCAACCATGTAGGCGACCGCAGCATGCAAACGACCTGGATGCGAGCTGTTTCACATGCTAACAAAGCGTCAGGATTGGACGACACTCCTCCATACGCTCCAAGAAGAGCACCGACTCCACGCCCAGGCATCGCTTTGCCATGTCCTCGCTCCGTGCCAACATCGGCGGCCCGGAATTGTCCAAGAAGCTGCGCCTTCTGATCAAGACCGAGAACCACGCAATCAATGCATACGAACAGGCTGGTAAAGAATGCCAGAGTATAGCAAGCCAGTTGAGCGAGTGGGGCGAGGATACCAACGACGAGGCTGTTAGTGACATCAGTGACAAGCTCGGTGTATTGTTGGCAGAGATCGCAGAGCAAGAAGATCTGTTCGCACAGAACCTCGAGGACAGCAGAGGAGTGTTGAAGCAGATCAGAAACACTGAAGCCAGCGTGCAACCGACGAGAAACCAGAAGCAAAAGGTGAATCACATCAACAACGCCAGCACGAAGTCGTGACTGCAACTGACACGTGCCATTCATTGAACAGATCCAAGACGAAATCCAAAAACTGAAATACAAAGAACCAGAATCCACGAAACTCGTCACGCTGGAACAAGAACTCGTCCGCGCCGAAGCCCAAAGCCTCGTCGCCGACGCCCAACTCAGCAACATCACCCGCCAAAAATTCAAAGAAGCCTACGACCTGCACACAGCCGCCATCATCGAGCGCGCCGAAAAACAACTCATCCTCGCCCAACACGCTCGAAGGCTCATCAGCATGCTCGACGACACTCCCATCGTCCCCGGCGACGAGCAGCAGCCTTTCACGCACGCCGAGGCGGCCAGAGAGGTTTTGAATGATGCCGAGGCTTCTCTTAGAGCGTGGAAGCCTTCGGTCGAGAAAATTCACACCTCGGCGTCGCAGTTGGGGCCGAATGCTATGGCTGCTGTTACGAGCATTCCTACTCATGCGCTTCCGCTGACGGAGACGCTGACGGATGCGCAGAGGAGTGAGGCTTTGGAGCGGGCGGAGCAGGAGGAGTTGCAGCGGGAGAAGGGTGAGGGTGCGGCGGTTGCGTCTTAGGAGGATGGCTGGGTGGTGAGGAAGGGGGGGGGGAGGGGGTATGGATGATGCTTCAGAAATTTCTCGGTCGGGAATGCTTTATTTATCCTTTGGCTGTGCGCGAATCTGAATTGGGGCTGGGGTTTTAATTGCTTTGCTTTGCTTTGTTTTGCGATACCATTTTCGTTTTGTCATCCATCCTACTAGGATTTTTGTTTTGTTATTGTTTTGGTATACAGCACGCTCTTATCGTAAGGAATGGAAATCTCAATTCAACAACACACTTCTCGATCTTCTTTCCTCCAGACGTAGTGTAGTGTAGTAGTGTTCATGATAAAATTCATCATGGCTCAGCCGCAATACCACACTATAGGTCAAAACAAGTCAGCACAAAAAAAATCCTTCCACAAACAAAACCAACACTGGTTGATGAAATTGGGACTCACCGTCAAAAACGCCTCATACTTCGCCTCACTCACCGGACTCACCTGCCCATCATACACACACCCATGATACTCACTATCCTGCACACACTGATACGTATACCGACTCTTCCCATCCTTACTCTTGAACGTGGCCACCACACCCCCGTAATCCGTCCTCGACCCCGTCTCCGTGATGCTACACTTCTCAAACAAAACGTCGAAGTTCGCGTAGCAGCCCGGCACCGGTCGGCCGAATTTCGTGAAGAGCGGGGCGTGCAGGTATTCGAAGGCCGTGCCTTGTCCGGTCGGGGGCAGGTCGCAGATGTCGTTGTTGGCTTTGCTGATTAGGTTGGCGTGGGAGCACCAGTTGAGGCCGTAGATCCAGGCGTTGATTTCGAAGTGGCCGTCGGGGAGGCTGGAGGTGGTGGAAGAAGAAGGTGTTAGGAGTAGGTTTTTGAGGGATGGGAGTGGGGGGCTTCGACTTACGTTACGTTGGCCAGGAGGAGGTTGGGGCCTACGGTGCCGTCGAAGGGACAGATGACTGGATCTGGAGTCGCTGGTGGGTCGGTGGGTGAGGCTGAGACGACGGCGCTCAGGCCTAGAAGGCTGAGGGCTGCGAAGGTGAGTCCGAACATGATTGTTGTGCTGGTAGGTGTGTCGGAGGATGAAGTGATGATGATAGGGAATAAAATGGAAGTCTGGACTCCGGTATGAAGAACGTGTAGTAATGGAAAGCTTCGGATCCTCAGTTCTGGGGATCGTTGATCGGGCATTCTTTTTATTATAACTGCCGGCCACGCCTACACCTTGAGGATCATTGAAGTTAAACAACCTGTCTTTGACGCATTCAGCCTGGTCAAACTTCTCCGGTACTGCCGTGAATAGCAACAAACTCTCTTGTACCTGGTAGGAAGTGTGCATAAGCGTTATCTGATGGTGTTGCAATTTAATAATAAAGGGCTTGGGATGTCGTTGTAGTTGTACTGTACGGAGACCTCAATGGTGGGTTTCCGCGACATGGTGTCTGAATTTCATTCGGGAACACGACTGCTTATGCCATCCGTTGAATTGCGGCTCTTGATGGAAACCAGGTCCGTGGGAGTAGAGTTTGAGACGAGCAGGCATCCTTGACAACACATGGGAGTCTGGTCTGAGGACCTTTTGGGGTCGGATTGCGATATGCTCTGTGCACATGCTGGGTAGTCAGGCTGGGAATAGAATACCCGAAAAGGATAGGGCGCTTGTTGCTATGTGAGACCGAAAAGGTCGTTTTCCGATTCTGGCTGAGAGGCCGAACACCCGCCTAACACTTTCAGCCATTTCTCCATCTCCATCAATGCACTCAATGTTGACTCGATTGGCTCATGTCCGCCACTGTTCGGCTCGATTTCTGGGTATGGCTGGTCGGCGTTGGGGGTAAGGGCTTCGTAAAAGTCAACGATCTTGAGACCGGGTTTCTTCTCAATTTCCTCTGGTTTTCTTGGTTTCTTGGCGACGAGGAACGGGGTCAACCCAAGCCATTCATTCGGCACGAGCGAAGTCCAACTCACTGTTCTGGATTCACCAGATGCGTAATAATGGCGAGCTTCTCAGACTGCTTCGACCTTGCTTCGGCGATATCTACTACGATCTTCGCAGCGAGATCCATATGCATCTTGACTGTCAGATTCTTAGGTAGTATGCCGAAAGCCTTGGAAGAAATAACGATACTTGGCAGCCACCGTTTCTTCTCGGCAGACACGGCAAGAATCATGGCGGTTACGTGCTTGGACTCGCTGTAACCTTGGGGCAGTGCCACCGAATGACCGTCAGCAATGCGTTCCGGTACCGCTGTGTCTTGCTGGTGTGTAGCAAATCAGCTCCCAACGCTCGCGATAGAAGAGATGCATGCAATCTGGGCGTTGCACTTGTTGGACTGTAAGCTGAACTCGGCCACTATTCTTGTCCCTGCTACATGCACAGCTTCACAGGTTTGCAAAGTCTTGTTGAAGTCGACAGCCCACATATTGTGGATGAAGATGCCGATAGCCTGTAGTGGCTCGTTGTAAACATCTAAGTCCAGACCAAATCGCTCTTGTCCAAAAAGTTTGCGGCCAAGAACATGGCTTTCGAGAAGTCTGCCTTGGTGCCGCGAGCTTCAAAGCTCTTTTCTTGCCGTGACACTGCATCTGCCGATCGATTCAAGCAGTAGATGTGGGCGACAGAAGAATCGCCGAGTAATTCCTGCAATATGTGGTTGCCAAGAGATGCCGTTGAGCCAGTCACAATGACTGTGTGCAACTGCGGCATCTGGAAAGTGCCTCTAACTTGCTTCGACGACGGATCTTGTGTATGCTTCTGAACCATATGATCCGTCACATCCTCCCGACTAGGCTGTTTAGCGTCGTTCTCGCCACCTGCAAGGTAGCTAGCAAGTCCAGCGATTGCAGGATTGCTGAGAATACACGCGGCGATGCGTTGCTCCCCGCTGCGTGGTTGAGTGTAGAGGAAAACGCCACTACTTGTGGTGAGTCCATTCCATAATTGAAATGTCGGCATGGTCAGGTGGATCGTCCGGAATCTCCAGCCCTTTGGCCTCGAAAGCTTTGCGTATTCACTCTTTCATTGAAGCAAGATCTATCCCCTTGCTGAGCACCCCAAGCTCATCGGTTTTGGTACACCTGTGCTTCCAGAAGTGTGAAGAATGACCACCCGATCGTCTGGCTTGTTGGCATAAGCACCAGGTATGGCGAGCCAGGTTTCAAGCCTTGTTCCACAAGCTAATCGAAGGCCGGTATCTGCACTGCGCGAAGACCAGGCACAGCTTTCTTGATGGTCTCCACCTGCGAGTCCATGCTTTCACCATAGAGCAAGTAACTGCATTTCGTGTTTGTGAAGAGGTTTGCTTGGCCCTCCCCGCGTAGAGGGCAGAAGAGGCATGTATCCAGCGAACGCATAACGTGTATCGTTGACGCCGATGTATGCAGCAGTATCCGTGCTCCTCTGACCAACACCAAAGACTCTTCCCACCCATCTCGCCATGCCATTTACAGTATGAGCAAGCTCTTCATGTGTGATGTTGCGCCAGCCTTGAGCGAGTTCTGCGTCTTTGGGTGCTCGCACGGGCTTCTAGAGAGCGTAAGGGGTATATATCATCGACCTACCTTACATCCTTCATTGCTCACTTCACGGGTGCGTGAGCGCGCTCTTTCGACGATGCGTCGCAGCATACCAGGTCAGGTTGCGATATAGGTGAATGGGGCGGGAGTCGCTGAGTGTAGGAGTATGATGTGGATTTTCGAAACGCGTCGACAAGTGCATCCAGATGCTGAGTAATTGCTGATGTAGCCGGAATAAGCTAAGCTCCAGCTAGCTCCAAGTCTGTTCTTTCCAGCCTCCTCTCTATTGATTTGCACTGTCCATACATCGCCCGTCCCATCATATATGAGTCTTTCCAAGGAGAACGGCATAAGCTGATACGGGTTCCCAGGATCATGTATACCGGCAGTCACAATGGCCATAGCAAGCACTACGATGATGTTTTTAGGGCAAGCTACGCATCGGGATGCTGGCGAGGACGGTCGATGGTCATTCAGAGGGTGGTAGGGTGTTGAACTTCTCGAATGGAAGTACTCCCTACTCGCTACTCTCTTGAATATTCTATCAACATTTCCTCCTCGCCACTCGATCGAAAGTCAAAGGTTAGATGGACCTCCGTAGCACTGAAGGGCCGCTATTATCAACCACTATAATCATGGACCAGATTCTCCTATCTTGGTCCACTGGTCCTCTGGAATATCGGCGAAGTCGAGTACCTCATAGCTGCCTCCCATCCGACCCTGGACATTTTCCCAGTCCCTACCGATTGCTGTCTCTGGCCGCCATCTCCAGACTCTCTTCATGCGCTCATCTAATTTTCCTTCGAGGCAGTCCGCAATGTATCGACCTATTATTGGTATATGCTTATAGCCATGGCCAGATCCTCCTACACCCAGCGTCAGACTCGGGAACTCCGGATGCGCTGTGATCAGGAAGTCTCTATTAGGAGTATCCGCACACCAGCAGATTCTAGCAAAGCTGAATGGACGCTCTGCTAGATGTGGCATGCACTCCCGCAAAAGCAATCGGACGCCCTCCTCGGATCTCAGCGGGATCTGGTGTCTTGCGAACGGCGTAGAGACACGATGATCTTTCGTCAACCAATTGCAATATCCAGGATGCTCGTCGCAGATTTTGAGCTCATGATTGTCTTCATCTGGTTCCATGAAGAAGCCCCTCTCGACGTTGAACATGACCGGCAGATCTTTGTAAAGTCTGGTCTCCTCATCAGACATCTTGATGTGTGCGAGAGTCCATGCGGTTGGTCGGAGCTGGTCTTTCATGTCGATCAACTGGGGAGCGTTGGCGCCAGCGCAGAGAATTGTGCGGTCAGCATAATGCTTCGTGCCATCTTTTGTCAAGGCTCCACGCACATCTCCATTTTCCACGACTAGGGACGTTACGGCGCCATGCGGGCTGCCTGCCACGACTTTGACACCAAGTCTCTGAGCTTCGTGAAGAGCAGACTCCATGGCCTTCCTAGCATGTACCCAACCAGCACCATCCTTCTTCCACCAACCTCTCCAATTGGGAAAATCGCCAGTCAGTACACCTTCCGGCATTGTCTTTCTAAAGTCCTCAGCGGTATTCAGTTCCACAAATCCTCGCTCCGGTGTTGGTCTCTCGTCGTCATACAGCTCCTTGATATGCTTAGGCTGACTGGCAGCAATTACGTATCCGGTTTCATGGTAGTAAGGAACGAACACTGGATCGTTCTCCCATGCCGCAGTGGCTTCAGCAGAGACTGTGGTGCGGACGAAGGACTCATCATCTCCCCCGTCGGATGACTCTGTGTCCTGCCAGCCTTTGATTTTGTTGACATCATTCCCTGCTGAGATTGCAGATGGAAAGGCATATGGATCAAGCACTGTCACATGTTTGTAGCCTCTCCTCGCAAGATGTAATGCTGTACTAGAACCCCAGGTACCCGCGCCAACGATCACGATTGAAGAAGATTTGAGGTCTTTTGCTGAAGACATGATAGAATTTCAGCTCGATACTGAACTACGATGTGTCTTGGAATTGAAATGCATACACTTGAACAGTGGTGTCCGAGTCCGAAGATCTGGCTTGCAGGGATATGAAAGTACCCCACATGCATCGGCATGGTTTTCGCCTGGACCTTCACCGACTTCACACCATAGTTGTTGATTATTGATTACTGATAATCACTAGTTACTGTAATTATATGTGACTACGATTATGATTACTGAGTGAGTGACTAGTGATTATAATCAGCAATCAGTCGGCTGTTCTTAGGCAATACTAGGGTGTATGTTACACCTACAGTAGGTATCAAATTTGCACTAGTTTCTACCTGTTTCTGTAGACAATAATATACTACAATAGGCGACTTTTATCGAGAGGTAGGTATATAGAATATAGGCATAGGAAGTCGCTAATTTTGATAGGTTACTAAGTTACTAGTGTCTTCTTAAGAAGAAGAGTTGTTATTATCGCTAATATAGACTTCCGACCTATTGACTACGGCCTTCTTAGCAATATAGAGCTATCACCTATAGTTATTGCTAAAGGACACGCTAGTTACCTATCCGACTCTTAGCTAAACCGACTAATTTGTTACCCCTGCTTAGCTCTACTTCTAATAGGCCGGCATACTGTCCTTTATCGATAAAGTAGCGTAGAAGGACTTCGAGCAGTATATTAGAGGGGCTAAAAAGGAGGGCTTATAGTTGCCGTATCGGAGGGTTACGAGGAAGACAACAAAGAGCCTTCGCTATACTAATAAGATTATTAAAAGGGCTGCTAGCTATTAAGAGCGTATAGCTGATAGCCTTTAGAAGGTATAAGAAGGCATAGACCGCAAAGGCAAGCCTATATTGCCGCTAGGTTCTCGTCGTTATCTCAAATTTAGAAGGAGGTATATATACTCGGAGGAGTGCTTTCTCGGGCTAAAATCGTAGTGTCCGCTGCGATAGGTATACTTTAAGGCTCGTATCGATAAGGTACTATACCGTCTAATCGATAGCGAGGGTGCTAAGGTTGCTAGGTGCGGCAGTAAGGTTATTGTTGTTGTTTAAGTATAGAATTAGTCGTAGAATGGTATTCGAGCTTACTGTCGCGCCTATAAAGATTGCGTTATATCAGCCTTAGGGTCTAGCTAAGCCTAATCGGAAAGCGTCGCTTAGCTCGGACGGCAAGGTCCGTACGGCTTAGCCGTACGCTAGCAAACTCAAAGTTTGATATTCATTATTTAATTTAAGACAACAATACCTTCGATATACGAGACAACCTCCGTAAGAAGCATAAACTAACTCAGAAAGTGCTGGAAAATTATATAAATACCTAATTATCGAAACGGGAAAGCGACCTACTAGACCGGATACTATTCTATAAAGATTCGAGCGATCTAAGCGACATTCTAAGCTCCGAAGCTAATAAACCTCCGTCTCTAACACCAGACGAGGATACCTTGTTCCTCTAAGCTTCTAATTCTATACGGCTATCTACTTCGCAGTCCTCGAATATACCGAATATAGTACAGTCGATACCTACGCCTACGGTCGCCGAGTTAAGGAAACGTAGAAGAGGTAGAAACTAGCTAGATCCGGCGTTATAGGCGTATACGAGAGCACTAAAAGATAGAGAGCCTTTAAAGGTCGATAGAGGTAGGTATAAGGTATTCTACTATATACACTACGACGATAACGACCCTAATCGGTACGCGTCTAATTCTAGTAACGCGCCTTAGTACCTAGCTAAGAAGCACTTTATATTTATCGGTATTAAGAAGCGGAAGCTCGAAGGCACTTATTAAAAGCAGACGAAGATTGACCTCTTAGTACTATAGAAGAAGCAAGGCTCTATTAAGTCGGACAAGACTATAAACATACTTAAAGGTACCGCGGATAAGGACAAATTCAGATACGCCCTCGCTCGCTTTATAACAGCTAATAGTATCGCCTATACTGCGCTAGTTACGAAGGAATTCAAGGACCTTATACTAACAGTCAATCTATACGTAGAAGGAGTCCTTCTTAAAAGCTATACTTCACTGTTTCCTCGTGTTCTATATAACTTTGAGAGCTAGCGAGCAGTAGTCAAATAAGCACTATTAGTAGCGCTTAGTTGCCTTCACTTCTATACTAATACGTAGAAGTCTTAGTATAGCTATAAGTTCTTCTAAGCTATCAATTGCTAGTATATCAACACGTAGGGCCGGCTAGTCCAAATACTACTAGATTTGCTATAACTTCCACCTAGCTCTTATACTAGTGACTTCCTTACTAAGACTGTCCTACCTTGCTTCTTAACCTTCGAGATAGCTAGCAAACTTAGCTAGATAACGACTGACAGCGGCTCTAACAACAATACACTTAGTATAGCTATTGAGCGCTTTATAGACTTATAAGGCTACTCGTACTAGAAGAACCGTCGGCTCCGCTATATTAGTTACATCCTCAACCGTATAACTATAGCCTTTATGTTTGCTAAGGACGCAGAGGCCGCTAAGAGTAAGGAATTTAATTAAACAGTGCTTAGCAACGACAGCGACAATATCTCTATATCGAGGTGGCTAGATATAGACGTAGAGTGCTTCGTTAAACAAGGACTATTATAACGGCTATTCGCACTCGCTAAGCTTCTACGGAAGAACGACAATAACAATATCTTCTAAGAGGTCTGTAAGGCCTAGCCATAACTGCCACATATAGTACTAAAGATCCCCGGTAAAACGCGCTAGAATAGCTGGCTTCTAATAATAGAAGAGGCTATTCAAACTAGGCCAATCTTGAACACCTTCTTCGATAGAATGCCGCACCTACGTAAGTTTAGCCTAGCCGACGACGACTAGAAGGTTCTTGCTTATATAAGGAGGTTTCTTAATCTATTCAAAGAGGTTACTCTTCGGCTTTAAGGCTACGCTATTATATTCGATATATATCAAGAGTCTATAGAATACCTAAGAAGCTACTTTATACGCTTAGCTAGCGAGAATACTTACCGGACGGTCCTTATTAGGTCTATCAATATAGCAAGGACGCTATTCGACAAGTACTACGTCCTTAACTAAAAGAGCCCTCTCTACGTTACTATAGTACTGCTATATCTAAGCCGACGACTTGCCTAGCTTAGAGGCCGCTCCGCGGTAGATATAGACACTACCTTATTACAGTCTATAGCGCTTTAGAAGGACTATAAGACACGCTTCGGAAATAGCCGTTAACTACTAGTCACGCTATAGCGCTCCTTTAAAGGACTATCGGACCTCGAGCGCTAGTAAATTGAGTCTCAAACTAACCTAGTTGCTACTAATAAGGACCCCTTCGAAGCCTTTATCTATACTAGTCTAATAGCACTACTACTAGTTGGCCTCGAGAAGCTAGTTATAATAAGTCCTATCGACTAGTAGGTTCAATAGCGGAAGACCTGCGATCTAGCGTTATAGCAATTAGCTATTAATATATTGTTAGCCTTTACTATATCCGCTGAGTCCGAGAGGACCTTTAGTATAAGCCGCCGCACCGCTAGATAGGACCGTGCACGTATAAGTAGTGACTATATTCGCATAAACGAGTGCTCGAAGAACTAGATAAGAACAGGGGTTGCTAAGGTGCTATTAGAATTAGCCGTGCTAGAAGAGGTAGAAGAAGAAGGAATATTGCTAGTCTTATACTCGGTCTTAGGCGCTACTAACAGCGACAGCGGCCTATAAATCTACCTCCTTCTTAACCCTGAGCCTCACCACGGCCGCTGATTATATGATTATGTGACTATAACTACTGATTATTCACTTATTATTGACTATGATTATGATTATGGCCGCTGACTACTGAGTACTCAGTAATCAACTTCTATGCTTCACACACTACCACGATAACAACAACGTGCACAGATGCTGCCAAAGCCTGCGAGCACCCCTTCGGCATGCTCAATGCTGGCCGAGAATGCCTCGCCGAAAGGCAAACGACACTTCTGAGCGTCACCATCGGACTCGCGATGGCTGTATGACCTGCCGAAGGCGACGCATCCGATGCGACCAGGCAAGACCAACATGTGCCAATTGCAGCCGGAAGGGCTTCCAGTGTATGCGTCAAGTTCAGCTCAAATGGCAAGCGGATTACAAGTCACAAAACTTGGCCTTCGGCCGGGAGGGCGTGTGGAGGAAACACAGAACATCTGCAGATAGAGCCTCAAGCCGTGGCAACAAGACATGGGTTCAATATCCGCTTATACAGGCATACAACTTCATCTCTCATACTGTGGACCGCGACACCGGCTCGATGATCGGATCGACGAGCTTCTTGAAAGAACAGCATCATCTCAATCTGGACCTAGAACGACCATTCTCGACGTTCCCAAATGCCGCGGTCACTGTAGACGCGTCCGTTCTATCATACTACGTGCAGAATCTTTGTCCTCTCACGACCCTGAGTCGACATGCTCGGTCGCCTTTCGTGACGCTTATAATACCATCGCTGCCGACTGCTTCATCTGCAGTACTAGACGCCATTCTTGCTCTGGCGGCATGTCACGGCTCGTCGATAAACAAAACTTGGGCAGCTTCTGCCGCGCAATTGGAAGCAAGAGCAATACACTCCCTGCGACACCGCTTGGCCAATATGACCGAGTATGAGCTTGCCACGGATCCTGATATTCACATCGTTACAATGATGCTCTGCTTGTACGAAATTGTCAACAAATGCGACAAACAATGGGTCATTCACTTAAAAGGCGCACGTGAGATAGCTCGGACCAGGCGAAGGCTCATCAGTGCCAATCAAGTCGAACAAGGTCTTCTCCGATTCACGGATTCCTTCTTTGCATTTCAAGACGTCATTGGCAGAACTGCCTGCGGCGAGGAACCAATTTTTGACAACACATATTGGGACGCATCCGACGCTCGAGTGGATGCTTGGCTTGGATGTAGCCCGGCATTGGTGGCGGTCATATGTCAAGCAACCGAATTGAGCAGGCAAAAGAGGGACTTGACAGCCTTCGAATTTCAAGCCAGAGCTGCAGGCTTGGAGGCGCAGCTAGAACGTCTCGAGCAAATTGTGCCAGACGCAAACGACACAAACTTGCAGAAATCTGCTGACGTGAAGTATCTGGCCGCCTCAGTCGTCATTCATTGCGCGCTTAATGATGCTTTGCCGAATATGAATCTGGTTCGTCGTTTAGTTGCTCAGATCTTGCTCTTGGTCAAGTGGTTCGTCGAGCAGAGCCTCGGCGCAGGTCTCCTATGGCCGCTGTTTGTTGCTGCGGCAGAACTTGATCCTACGAATGACGACTATGCCACAGAAAACGGTTCGGATATCATCGTGGGAAGAGCTTTTGTCCTGCGTGCTCTTGACTGCCTAGCGATTTCTAGCGTCACGAATGTCAGCAAGGCAAGACAAGTGATTACGGAAATCTGGCAAGCTCGCGACGAAGCTGTGGAAGACGTTCCGACTTTCCCGACGAATGACTGGGAACACTACGTTGCGCCACGGAGTTCCAATCTCAGTCTTGCATAGCAATGTCGGCTCGACTCCTGCTGTAGGCCGCAGGTACGGGCTCTGAATGGAGTATGGAGGTCTTGGCCTATCCTGGTGGAGGTGAAGATCGCTTCAGTGCAGCAGACAGTCCTTCCCGCGAAGCATACAACGCCGATAGCTGGTGACAGCATTTTCACTTGGACATCTAACACCTGGACGTGGTATTACTTTTGCATTGCAGGACCCTCGAACAACGCTGAGCAGTACAAAGGACACTCTTAACATCCCGTGAAGGGCACTTGGGGTCTTTCTGCCCTTTGAAAACGGCTACGGATGGCTCTTCACCTTCTATGGCGCCGGAGAGGCACTCCGAGATACGAAAAGTTCTTTGCTGAACGCGGCGAGCATGTGATTGCTACTCGCATCGATGCTCACTGAGAAGTGGTATGAGCTACATGACCACATATCGTTTCTTTACAAAACGAAGAGAGGGTCTTCTGAAGCACGAGTCATGACGTCAGTCTCATCAAAATATTGTGCATCTTCGAAGATTGCACTTCACCTTGTGTAGAGACATCGAGACGAACTCATGCTTCTCACCCTGCGCAAATCCCTGCGACAAGTCTTTCAAATCCAGAGCACACGACAAGCTTATCTAGACCTCAATTTCGTACGAACGCGATCCTTCTCAGTCATGTCGTGGATGGATTCGTGGAGCCGACCATCGGCCAACTCAAAAGTACCAGCACCATTATATCTGAGCAATGAAGATGTGCCCTACTGTCGGACATGTGGCAGAGTCATGAGTATCGTGTCCAAAATGTCCCACAATCTCAACATCGCTAATGGTCGAAGATTCCAAGAAAGCCACCAAGAAGACCTCGAACGAGATCAAATACTGTTCAGATCGATGCCGATCCCGGAAACCAGGAGCACTTGATCGAAGAATAGAATCGACCATAGCGTCTATGCTCAACGATGAAGCCGGATCTGGAATCGAGCAGACGGCCGCCAAGACTAAAGTTGTCAAAGGGGATCCTCGACTGATCGTGACCATGGATGAGATCGAAGAAGTCATTTTTGGGAGCAGATTTGATGCGGAGAAAGTGTATGGTAGACGGAAGAATCGCAAATCTAGAGCTATTCCTCTCAAAAACGGCGAATGGAAAAGCGTAGACATGGAGTCTGAAACCGAGGACGACATCTCTACCCAGCGAGAAGATAAGCACGACCATCTTTCAGTCGGCGAGGAGAGCGTCGGCTCAATACCTTCAATATCTTCTGTAGCTTCAGTCGATGGTGGCGTCCGCATACGTCCTCCTCAAGAAGAATCCGAGATCAACTTTGCTGCGGGAGGTGGCGAAAGAGGCAGGCATGAGAAGATCGAAGAAACTCCCGACGATCTTCAGAAACGAAGAGAAGGCGCTAAGAGAGCTGAGGAGCGAGAGATGGTGAGGCGGGCAGCGAGGCGAATCATCATTTTTGGAGTCGACGTCCCGAAACGCGCGACTAATGGAAAGAGACCAGCAAAGAGCAAATCGAAGGGCAAGCACGCCGATGAAGATATTGACGAGGGGACCACGGAGATCAGGAGGGCAGAGGCACTGATGGCAGGTATGGTGGTCGAGCCGTCCTTTGCAAAAGGGAATTGGGCGGTGAGATGGAGAGACTGAATTACCACCTCGTCTCTGACAGAATTGCTGGGTTCACATCGGGCACATTTCTGGGACTCCATCGACCCTCCATCTCACAAAGAGTTCTTCCGCCAGCGTGAAACGTACCATATCATGACCGAGGTGCTCGAAGATTCATGCTGGAGGCTGTCTCCAATCAGACCCTGGCTTCTTTAGCGTGAGGACTGAGTGGGTTCTCAAGTTGCTCCCTCGAGTGAATGATCGTGATCGTAGGTAGGTAGATCCGTGCGAATTTCTTGCGGGTTGAGAAGGATGATATCTTTGCTCGATCAAGTTCGTCCGAGTCAAAGACGCTGATGGAATTTGGAAGCAAGTCTTGGTTTGGGAAAGACGGCCTTTTCCTATATAAGTATAACCAGTGCTTCTCCCAGTTTCTGATCAGCGAAGAGTGTCGGGCGGTTCAAGAACAAGAACATCAAAGACCTATTAGCGACTTGAATTCGAATGCAACGTGATTGGCGAGAAGCGGTCAGAAACCGGTCATACAAAGTGCTCGCTAATGCTAGTTTTCGACTGACTGCAGAGTTGCCAGTACCTGTAGCTGACGTTTTCGTTCAAGTAATTTCATAATTCATAAATCAATAATAAAGTACAATCTATGCCCTAGCTATACAAATCTCAGAACACCAGATTTCCACTCACAAGACATGCCTTCTAGATGACTAGATATAGACTTGTGAGTAAGGCCGGCCCAATGAAAAGTCCGGTCCAAAAAATGGCATTCCCAAGCACCGTTCTCCCCTTCATGAACTTACTCCTGCTAAATGCCACCAAAGGCATTTGCAGGAGTTGCATCCAGAAGAGATAGCCTCGGACTTTGCTAAAGATCAGAGCCATGCACATTTCGTGCACCAAGGCCGAGAGGAGAAATGTCACAAATGTGGCCGCCTTCCGGCTGAGGTGGAAGGTGGAGATACTGCTGTGGTAAACGTGTCGCAGCAAGAAGTTGTGGACTGGTCGATTCCAGTCTCGAGCATACTGGTCCCACGTGACGCTGTTCCACCAGTCGCCGTAGAAGCCTCGATCGGCGAATCGAGTGACTTCGGCGAGGACGTTGAGGATACATTCCCAGATCACGTACCAGGTAAGTAGCTGTTCGATGAGCATGGGAAATAGCATGTCGCTGACAATGAAAGGAAATTCTCGCCATCGGTCCTCGAGAGGCATATTCGTCTCCTTCATGTCGAGACTGCGCCGGACGAGGGGGTAGATGAAGCCTTGCGAGATGACTTGCATGACGCAGAGAACGCCGAAGGTGGCAACGGACTTCTCCAAAACATACCACCAGTTAGTCCTCTCTTGACGGGGATAGTCGAGCTCGTAGACTAGGGTGGGGAAGCAGGTATATTCGATGTAATTGCCGAGTGTGAGATTGTTCGGGTAAGCCTTGGCATTGCTGTCGCTCTTGCCGCGAAGCTCTTTCTCAAGATCAGAGATCTCGTGCTTGACAATGTCGGACATGGTCGACATTTGGTCGGCAGTGAGAGATTGGCCTGACTCAATCGCCGCGGCAACGCTTGCAACGAGAGAGTGCTCTTTCTTGAAATTGGTGGATGTTCGCGGTCCGGTCGAAGGACGTCGCCTCTTCATATCATCGGTCTTTGGACTGAGATCGACACTGGAAGAGACTTCGATAAAGGACTCGCGGGGTGAAGTCGGGCTGGTGGGCGGAGAGAGTAGCGGCTCTAGATTCTCCAAATCCTTCAGCTTTTGCTCCAGCAGACGTTTCCGCCTGTACACGCCGGACAGATAGCCGTTGTAGAAAGCATAGCTGTGTTGCTTCATCAGAAAGACAAGTCCATGGAGGACGACAAAGATGGTATGCGTCCATGGCCATTGCCGAAAATGTGCCCATCCAATCACCGATCCCAGATATGCCATCTGCCAGATATTTTGAACGACCCAGCCACTTCTGCCCCAGCTGATATATCCACGGCTGACGAGTTTCTGGAAGAAGTATCCTTCAAAGGTCGCGATCCACATGACTCCATCTGTGACGCCTAGCAAGAATACATCTCTTGTGAACATCATCCTCATGATTTGATTGCCGCCCAGCCAGCTGCCATAGTCGCGCCAGTTTCGCAGGGCGACTTGAAAGAAGATGAGGAACATGCATATCCAGAATAGCGTGAAGAAGCCAAAGAAGGGACTGTCGGCACTCGCGGGATTCTGCCGATCGAATGTGGTGAATCGACGTGTGAAGACGAGGTCGCGAAAGTTGATGCGCGGCGGCTTCTTGATCTTGCCCTCTGCCTCCTCCGCTTCCCTCTCAATGCCCTTTCTTAAGATTGCTTTGATTTCAGGATCATCGGCGGTGAGAATGTACTTTCCTTTCCTATCTGTCCGCGCCAGTCTGATCTGAATGCTATTGCGTTTCTTATGGCCGCGCTTTGCTTCTGACGCAGATTCTTCCTGCTCGCCGTTCTGCTCTTTCCCTTCCATCTTGGAATTGCTAGGTCGGTAGGCTTCGTCGAGGCTGCGTCTGGTATTGAGGATCAAGGTGTCGGGATCGAGTTGGAGCTGGTCATAGTTCTCAATGGCGTCGTCTATGTCAGACGAAACTGCCGAGTCGTCTGACTGAGGGAGAGATACCGAGTGCCCGAAGCTGTCACTCGTTCCCTGCACACTCTGTGGGTAACGGGCAAGGCTGGCATTGAGCGACGCATTTTTGTTGGACTTTGGAGAGCCCGGCGGCAGCTCGGCGACGCCATTGTGACCGAGAGTGCCTGTCAGCCGCGCGACGTCGAGCGTGTCCTTGTTGGGAAGTGCTGGGCGGATGCAAGTGCTGGCATGCGTATGCCGAGCTGTCATGGTTCCGCAGCGCGGACAAGGATGCTGACGCTTCACGCGTGAGACAAGTGCGCTTGACCACGCTAAACGCGGAGTTGACCCTCGCCACTTCCCCGAGCCCCAGCTACCCGCCCGAGCCCCAGTAGATATACCAATGTAGAATCGTCCTGAATTAGATTACGTGCTGTTTCCACCTATTATATATTATATCCGTTCTTGGATAGTGTTGTTAACAGGCGCGGAGGTCGCGCCTCGAATTCGCGCCTCGAATTCCACCGTAGACCTAAAGTTCGCATTTCTTCCCCCTTTTGCAGCAGATTACCTAGTAACTACCGAAAATGGCTGAATCTCTATCCTACGACGAGTTTCTCGATAAAGTTATCGCCGGCGGCGGTAACGGCGCGGCGGCGGCGGCGGCGGCGGTAGTAGAAGGTGTAGAAGGCGCGCTCTCGGCGGTAGTTGTTGAGTCGCAGAAGGAGGTAGAAATAGAGGTAGAAGGTATAGAAGGCGCGCTCTCGGCGGTGGTTGTTAAGTCGTAGGAAGAGGTTCAATTTGTCTCGGAGATACGTATTCGAGGCCGCTCGCGCTTACTGTCGCTATCGCTGCCGCGCGAGCGTGTTAATCTGCTAGAATATCGATCAGTATCGCCGCGACCTTAAAAGCACGAGTTTATAACGATTAAGCGCCCTCGTAGGCTATTGCCTCGCTAGTCGTCGTTTCCTTCGAAGAATGCGCTCGTACGCTATATTTAGTCGTTTAGTGTAGACACTAGATTCGAGTTCAAAGAGTAGAAACCTAAGAAGAATAAGGATGGTATCAAATACCGCTATCTCTACGTCTACGGCTGCTTTAGTGAGCCTAATAAACGTACCTAGACAACGACTAATAAGGCGAAGAAGAAGACAAAGAAGATTAGCTGTAAATTCTATTTCTACGCTATTGCTATCGACCCTCGCACGCCGGATAGTAAGTAGTGTATTCGCTACTCTTCTAAAGATATACATTGCTAGTATAACTATAGACCTAACGACGTTGTCTTATTAACTAATGTGCGTGTCCGTACGAGGTCTTAGCAATTCCTTAAGCAACTAGAGCGATTATAGCAGTTACGAATGCTAACCTCGAAGATTATTCTAGCGAAGCTAGAAGAAATTTAGGCGGGAGGCGGAGCATTCGAGGAGCTTGCGACGAGAATGCGTAGCTATACGTCTAAATTTCTAGAAGCGAGTGCGAAAGAACAGTTAGACTCTCCGAGTCTAACCTGTATACTGTATTGTGTATTACATAGCGTTATGTGTGTGTTAGGTAAGCAGCGGAAGGGGGTTAGTAAGGAAGATACGACGCTATACAAAGTCTAGGAGCGCTTCTTATTAGTCAAAATTCAAGAAGTTATTACGTATATAAAGCCTTAGGCCGCTTACTTTACCTATACCTACCGACTTTTATAATAACAACTACTTCTACAACAACTACTTCTATAACAGTAACGACCCTGCCCTTAATTACGAACGCGACTTTCGCAGACTACCGAACTACGAGTACTATTCTAACTATCTAACGCCGTATATACGACGCGTAGACGTACGACCTCCCTTAGAGCAAGAATCTCTATTGTTCTTTGTACGAAACCACTTCGTAGCTAAGATTAGGACGAATTTCGAAGGCGTCTCGGCATCTCCGACTTACGGGTCTTATATAAGATACATCGATGCTAACGATAAGTAAAAATGTTAGGATCTAGGGAAACTGGCTCTAAGCAATGTTATCTAAAGAATACTTATAGTCTGTAATTTAAGAGCTATTAGGACTCGACATATTAACTTCTATATAGTCGCAGCTAATCCGCGGGTACGACGGGAGCAAGATTATAGATATGCGATACTATTAATTCGGTATAAGCAAGACAAGTGCTTAGGCTGTCGACAACGCACCTACTATCGACCTTCGTTCTCGACTATAGAAGCGCGTATAGGATTAGAAGATAGGCAGACTATAGCTAGAGAGCCGTGCCGCCTAGATCTTAGACGATAATAGTATATACATCCACTATTCGCCGAGCTACCTTAAACCCTCTACGAACGATATCGGCTTCTTAATACGCACTCTAGCGTTACTAGACCTAAACAATTAGACCGACATAACTAGACCTAAACATCCGGATAAAGAGACTAGTCTCTGCCCCTCTAACTCCGATGCTTCGATGCCTCTAGTAAGAGTAAGAGCAAGAGCGCTATAGAAGGACAATAGTACTATACAACACCTGCCCTCCCGTAGGGAGCAACCGCCGTCCGCGTAGGACCGCCTTCCGCGTAGGAGCCTATCCGGAGGACTAATACAAAAAGGAGTACTCCGCGCGGTAGGTATAGGGGTTTAGGAGGAACGACTATCCCCCTACCCTAAGCGGCAACGTTAGTAAAAGGATGTAGATACTAAAGCGGTAAGGCTATAGAGGGTTTAGGAGGAACGACTATCCCCCTAGCCTCTAAGCGGCAACGTTAGCAAAAGGATGTAGATACTAAAGCGGTAAGGCTATAGGGGGTTTAGGAGGAACGACTATCCCCCTAGCCTCTAAGCGGCAACGTTAGCAAAAGGATATAGATACTAAAGCGGTAAGGCTATAGGGGGTTTAGGAGGAACGACTATCCCCCTAGCCTCTAAGCGGCAACGTTAGCAAAAGAATGTAGATACTAAAGCGGTAAGGCTATAGGGGGTTTAGGAGGAACGACTATCCCCCTAGCCTCTAAGCGGCAACGTTAGAGAGGTTTGTAGGTACTACTAGCGCTTATAGTAGATAGTAGAATTGAATCGATTAAGCGCATTTCTAGCAAAAGCACGCTAACAAAAGTGATTAACACGATAACGAGCCGAGCAATCCGTACCGTTTAGTATTCCGCCGTAATAGCACGCTACCGCATCCTGCTTTTCACGTCGCACCCTCCACCGATGCCGCTGCCTAGCAAAAGATGTTGCTAGCGTATATAGCACTAACCGAGTTCAAAAAGAATGTGAAGAACATTACTAGAGCAAAACTATAGAGCGGAAGCTACGCGGGGCCTACACTGCGGACAAATACGATTCCTAAGCATTAACCCTTTAAGTAAGGCGAACCTTACTACTCGACTTATAATCGCCTTAACCTATAGAAACTAGACGAACTGCGTTTTTTAGACAATCGAAGGCTGCTAAACCTGACACTTAAAGGCTGCCTAACCTAATAAGACTTCCGAAGAAGCTCGACAATATAGTACCGACAATTCCCTATATAGTTAGTTTAGAGGGTAACTAAGAACCCGGATAGCGCGTCTTACGGCGGTTTGAGAAACCTGCTGAAAATTACGACAATGCTGTACCCTAGCTTAGTTTAGAAGACCGAGTAGTCTGTATGCAATTATTAAAGGCTTGCTCTAATTTATAAGTAAACAATGCGGAAGAACTCGGGGGTTATATCACTCAAAGCGGGAGTAGAGCTGTAAATACTCCTTACGTTCGCCTATTATAGTAGACAAGAACGCGCTCGTATTGTGATTGGACGTAGGGCTGCAATTCTTATATACTAATATAGCATTATCGTTACTAGCGTTGTAGTAGCGCAGTTAGAAGCGTAAAAGGCACGTAGGTAGGTAGCGAGGTAAGGTTTAGACAATGCTACAGATTGAGCGTTCAATCTACGTACTAGAAGCAACATTAAGACTTCTAATAAGTTAGTAGGCTAATATGTCTCAACACCTAGGTTCTTTAATGTTAACGTTAATCGAACGAGTTAAGTCGATTAGGCACATTTCTATAAAAACAACGCTAACAAAAGTGCTTAATACGATAACGAGGAGACCTTAGGCATCGAGTATTGTAGGTATCGATACGATAGGGACATTCCGTACGGTAAGGGAACGGGGGGTTTAGGAGGAACGACTATCCCCCCTCCCTCTAAGTACTAACGTTAAAGAAGGAGCACTCCGCGCGGTAAGGGAATAGGGGGTTTAAGAGGAACGACTATCCCCCCTCCCTCTAAGCGCTAGCGCTTCTAAAGGTAGGTTAGTAGAGACAGTAGTTGACACATACATTGTAAATAAAGACAAAGGTCCGTACTAGTGAATTCTGTTACATATAAGAAGCCGCACTCTATTCCTATTCGGGCGTAGGCTTCTAACTAAGCGGCACTATAAATAGACGCCTCCTTTACGACTTCCACTTCTCTTCGTGTCTTGCCGCGGAACCTTAATATACCTACCTACATACACAAATACACACATTCTAGTTAATCCGAACACTAAATACTTAGCAACCTATACGACCAACTAAGAGACAGCAGCATTATAGCGGTGCAATCGAAGCTCGCGATTTGCGATGCCTCGAGCACCTCCTATACTCTTGCCGTACCTTCTACCTATAAGAGCCTAGCTACGATCGAGCCCTATACCTTCTAGGACTAGGCTTAGGTCTATCGTCGCACGCCCTGCCGTAGCACCGGCCGCCGACTCGAGCGAATGTTTACGAAGAAGATTAAGCCTACTATCCGCGACCTCGAGCTGCAACTTGAAGATGCGATAGAAGAAGATTCGACGCATAGCGCCTACGACTACGAGCATAGAAAGAACGCCTTCGACACGGCTAAGTATGTACATCTTATACGACTCAAATACCGGATTATAAAGGACCTCGAACTAGCTCTATACGCTAGCGAGAACCGTCGCTATATCAACCTAATAGCAGAGATTTAGGCTATTATCTAGTAGAATACCCCTATGTATACATACATAGCGCAGGTCGGTTAGCAATTTAGTTATTGGTACGGACAAGCAGCGGCTAGAGCGCTAGGAGGTAATCTACCTAGCGGACCGCCGAAGAAGAACTTGCCTACTAACCGCCCTAATCCTAAAGAAGAAGAGGATAATAATCTGAGCGAAGTTGGCAGCGACTACGATAGCGATACTTAGGTCTGCACTAACCCTAACTGTAGTAAGCGTAAGCCTATCGCGTGCTTTATAAACCCGAAGTATCCGACTAAGACACTTAAGATATGCGACAAGTATCGTGCTCGTAAGGCTAAGGCTTCTTCCTTAAAGAAGCGCAAGCTGGATGATACTACTTCTTAGCCTTAGCCTACGCTAACGAAGCGTAGTCGACCTATAAAAGCAGTGTCGATACCTGCTCCCGTACGATCGCTAATTATTATTTAGTCGTCTCCGGCTCCTACATTGTCGCTTGGTCCTACTGTTCTAAACCCACTATTATCTGCTAGTAGCAACATTAATGTCGCTCTTTAGCGTACTAGAGATCCTATTAAGAAGATGCCTCCTTAGCTAGATACATTTCAATCTTTAACGCCGCCGCCGCTACGTCCTTCGCAAGCTCCGCTAACATCCTTATTAGGTAACCCTAGAGATGTACGTGCTCGTAGTTAGCACAGTAGCGACGATGCGGCGACTGTAGCTGCCCGTCGTATATAGACGTAGATCGAGCGCGCTAATCGTGTCGCTACTCGCGCTAGTAAGGCTATACAGCCTATGCCTACTATCGAACAGCTCCTAAGCGATAACTATAGCAGTAACGCACCTCTGCCATCTTAAGAGTTCGGTTTCGCACTAATCGGTCCTCCTAATAATAGTCGCCTAGATATACGCGAGTTCTTCTACTACGAGATTTGTCTTATTCCGCGTAAGATCTCTCGCTTATACGAGCAGCCCAACTTCTACTACTACTATATAGAAGGTTATAAGCTTGATGATATAGCTATAATGAAGTAGTGTTAGATAGGCAAGCACGAAGAGGAGCGGTTCTAATTTCTCGCACCTAAAGGAGACGACGAGGTTCGCCGCGAGTTTAAGTTCTGCTGCCTCCTACATTACATTAAGCCACCGCTACGTCCTGATATTCCACGACAACGTTAGGCACGTGCTGGTCCTACTGAGCGTACTAAGCAGACTACTCAAGACTCCGATCGCATTAAGCACTTTCTCTATAGCTAGGACCCTGCTTTAGGCGATCCTTCTAACCTTAACGACTCGCCTGCTCTAGATAAGCTTAACTACCGTTTGGTTAAGGAGTTTTACGAAGACTTAGATAATAAGAAGATAGAGTACTGCTAGAATCTAGAGCTTAACAACGGCGATAGTAGAGGCTACAAGGAGCGTTAGTTTAATATAGATTTAGACAACAATCCTAAGTCCCTAACCTATAAGATCTGTTATCGTTGTCGAGCCACTCGCGACAATACTAAGCCTATTAGATCGCCCGATTTGATGTCCGATAAGAACTGTATAGATCCTAGACTATAGCTAACTAATCCGGAGACTAGCGAATGGTTGCCTTAACTCACTATAGTCGAAGAGCTGCTTATTGCTAAGCACTATATATACGTAGAAATGCGGTTAATTAAGGGCGCATAGTAGCGGTACAAGAACAACGTTATCAACTTTCTACGAGACACAGCAAAGGTTTAGAAGCAGCTACCTCTTCTGCCTTAACACCTAGAGACTGTAGTCCTACGTCTAGCTTAGTCGGATGAGGTTATAAAGAGAATCTTTGTCCGAGACTTCAAAGTACGACAGTAGGTAGTACGTACTTAGTTGAAGCACCTTAAGGACAACAATCCTAAGTATATAGATATCGAATAGGATAAGCAACGTATATTATAGCTTCCGGATAGCTAGGACGGTGAATCTGTTATAGACTTTATGCACATCGAGACCTACGAAGAAGATGAAGGCCCGCCGTTAGTCTCTTAAGAAGCTGCTAGACAAGCCGGTCTTGTACAATCTTAGGCTTATACGCAACATAGTAATGCTAAGCCTAGTACTACGGAGGAAGAATAGACTTTCGCAGACTATCCCGTAGAATTAGCTTTACCTTAGGCGTATATGCTATAGAACTAGCGAGATGCTATCTAGGCTATTATTAGTAAATAGACCGAGTAGCGGCAACGAGTAGAAGCGGAGCGTCGAATGCGACAAGCTTAGCTCGACGCCTCTAGAGACGAACAAACGTAGCTTAATCTGCTAGAATTTAACTCTGTGCTATTAAGTGAGTTCAACAATAAGCATCGCTTACTAGCAGGTGCATTTCCGACATGCTATCCTTAGGGCAAGGCAGACTATACTAATGCCCGTTAGCGCGGTCTCGGATATAACGACTACCTTGAGTATATGCTGAAATGGGATGATAGCACTAGTCTATACCTATCTAGTGCTCGATTTGCATAACACGCTCGATAGAGACATGTCGCTCTAAACACTCTACTAAGACGTTAGACTATATTAAAAGCGGACTACATTGTTTAGCAGAATCCGGAATACGAGGAGATTGCCGTAGACGACATACGAGCTGCCCTTACGTCTAATAACGAGCAATCTCGCAAGCTTCTCTTAATAATTACGCGTAGTAGTAACTCTCTACGTAGTACTCGAGCCTTCTAGATCGGTAAGACTAATGAATTAGAGAATTACGTTAAAGCGATCGGTACTCCTTAGCTATTCTTAACCTATAGTGCTGCCGATAATTATTAGCCTAGCCTTTAGCGCTATATGCCGGTTATGCCCGAGGGCAACGAGTTTCAGCGCCTTAAGATTAGTCGGGACAACGTACGAGAGAATCCAGCTATAGCGGCATACCACTTCTATAGGCGCTATACTTTCATTATAGACCTGCTTAGGAAGAAATTCGGAGTAGAAGACTTCTAGAACCGCTTTGAGTTCCAGTCGCGAGGCTTATCTTACAACTATAGTATTGTTTAGCTTTAGTAGCATAATGTTAAAGTACAGGATAACGACGGGAACAATATCTCTTAGAAGCTTCCGCCTCCTGTTATGTCCGACACCGAGAGCCAACGTTAGCGCCTTGCTAAGTTCTAGGGTCGTTATATCTCTGCTAACAACCCTTAGCCTAGACGAACTGGCATTCAGCCTAGTAAGCTAAACATCCTTTAAATGCTATACGATCGGTTATAGAACAGCTAACACTAGCTTATGTTGAATCTCAACCGTGTATAGCGGTATACGTGTAGGTATAAGTACTGCAATC